CTATTTTATAACACCACTAACACAATCTAAGGACATAGTTAATTCGCCAGCACCTCATCAGCATTTGGTTTTATCCTTTTTATCTTTTTATATTAATTTAACAAGCATGAAGTGTTACCCTGGCTGATGTTGGTTGAATGTCATCCTGTGCACCAAAAGGTTGCCAGTTTGATTCCTGGTCACAGCACACACCCAGGTTGTGGGTTTGGTCCTGGTTGAGGTGCGTGCAGAAGGCAGCCAATGGATGTTTCTCTATCACATCAATGTTTCTCTCTCTCTTTTCTATTCCTCTTCCTTCCTCTCTCTCTAAAGTCAATGAAAACATTTAAAAACTAAGTATAAAGTATTATCTCTCCCTCCTTTTCTTTTTTTTTCTAATTGCAAAAATAACACACAATTTTTATAGAATGCTTAGAGATACAGAAAAAATAGAGAAATCCCACCACTGGAGATCAGTCCTCCTTCTATATATGTTGTTTTAGTTAAATGAGGTTTATTTTTTCTAAGAAGGTCCCTGGAGAAGGAAATGTTTATCCCACAATACTTTATGAAATTAAGGCCAGGCTTTATCTACACCCTGTGATACTCGTGCATAGTTCAGCAAACTCTCATTTTTTTTTCTAAAAGTTATCCTTCCTTCATTCTTGACTTTGGAAGGATGAGAGTCTGCAGGAAGGTCAGAGTTGAAAAGTTGAAGGAAGTGGCTGAGAGAGGTAGGAGCCTCTCAGTAAATTAAAGTGTTGAAAATAAACTTTTAAAGAGATTTTTTTTTCTGAAAATAGGGGTACAGGGGGGCAGACAATCTTGCTTTTTATTTGACATTTGGGACCTAATTTATTTTATTTCTTTAAAAAAATGTTTTCCAGAGAAAAGAAATTCTATGGACTGCTGGCTAAAAGCCCCAAACTCTTATTCTGTTATTTGTGCATTTTGATGTGTTTATGGATTCACAGAGAATATTTAAGGGGCGTTCACACTAAACAGAGTTACTACAGTCAGCTGACAGGAAGGAGGACATGTGGGTGGGGTGAGGTCAAGCCATAGGAAATTCCAGAAAGTTTTTAAATGTCTTGTCTTTTATCTTGGATCTTAACAGATTCTGGTGGTTAAGGATCCCTCAAGCATCTGAATAAAAAAGGCTGAAATGTGATAAAAATGAGTTACAGAAGAGTATTTTAGTGTCAGGATTCCTGGTGTTTTTTTCTTTCTGTGTTCCTCTACTTCCTTGAGAAATACTGGAGGAAACCCCTCCTTCTTCCTGTACCTCAGATTACCACTTGTAAATGAGGATCATAAAATTCATAGTAAATGCATTTGAGATCTTGTTATTCTGGATATTTGAGTGGTTTGAAGGTGTAAAGGTATTTAGAAAATGCTTAGTGCTTCACCTGGGATCTCATTAAATGCTCTCAGCTAAATTCCTCCTCAGAACCAGTATCAGTATAACTGATTTCCAGAGTTTCTCTTTCTATTTTTCTCTAAGACTAAATAGCTTTTCAAATTCACTTTTTTAGGACTTGAAAGAAGATAATTCAGAATATTGATACCCTCATGAACGAGAAAGCTTTTCTTTTCTTTTTCTTTTTTTAAAAAAGTCTCTTTATTTAACCCAAAGGTTTAAAAGAAAAGCTAGCAAATATTAGAAATTTTATGCATCTAAAACCAAAAACAGTCTCTGCCCTGGCAGGGCATGATCTAGTTCTAAATGGTCTTTCTCCCAGGAACCACCAGTGCAGGGATTTCCCATGTGACTATAAGTACAGACAGAAAACTGAACTCTCAGCAGGTTGCAATATGTAACATATGCTCTTTGAATTGTACTTGAACTTTACCTTTTGACAGGATGTAAATATTTGAAATGCTCTAGCATTAAGAATGCAGCTCTGGCCCTGGCCGGTTTGGCTCAGCGGTTGGAGCGTCGGCCCGCGGTACAGAGAGACCCGGGTTCGGTTTCCGCTAAGGGCACGTACCTCGGTTGCAGTTTGTCCCCGGCTCTGGTCGGTTGTGCAGGTGGCAGCCACTCGATGTGTCCCTTCACATTGATGTTTCTCTCTCTCTCTCTTCCTCTCTCTCCCTCCCGCTCTATCTGAACAAAAAATGGAAAAATGTCCTCGGTTGAGGATTAAAAAAAAAAAAAAAAAAAAAGAGAATGCAGCTCTGGCCGGTTTGGCTCAGCGGTTGGAGCGTTGGCTTGTGGACCAGAGAGTCCCGGGTTTGGTTCCCGCTAGAGGCACATACCAAAAAAAAAAAAAAAAAGAATGTAGAACCTGTTATGTTTCAGTTAAAAAAAAAAAAAAAAGACTCAGCCGGTGTGGCTCAGTGGATTGAGCTTCGTCCCATGGACTGAGAAGTCCAGGTTTGATTCCTGGTCAGGACACATGCCCGGGTTGTGGGCTCGATCCCCAGTGGGGGACTTGCAGGAGGCAGCTGATGGATGTTTCTCTCTCACATTGATGTTTCTATCTCTCCCTTCCTCTGTCTCTAAAATGTCAATTAAAAAAAAATTTTTTTTAAATATATATTTTCAGGCTTTCTCTCTTTTTGAGTCCTGAAAATTCTAATTTTTATAGTGGTCATCTTACAGTGCGGCAGCATTTGGGATAAATCTTTGGAATTTCATTTACTTTAATTATCTGCAAATGACATATGTTTTGAAAACAAAACAAACAAACAAAATGTGGATGGGAGGGTAGCCTGCCAAATTTATCTTTTTGCTTTGGTGAGTGATCTTCATCTCCAGATTGGGGGCTTCTCCCCGAGTAAGAGTAGGTTGCATTATATGAGTCATGTGGATATGATTAATGGCGCAGCTGACCTGGGTATAATATGGCAAGGTTAGAGTTGCTACAGTTTATTTGGTTTTTATTAAAAATAGATTCAACTAATAATGTAAATAGCAAAGCTGACTAAAGTAAAATTATATTAAATGTATATTGAACTTGCAAGAAATTATACTCTTTTTGATATGGTACAAGCAAACCAATCCTTGGCTCTGACTTTTGAAGTGGTATGTTTTCTTTCTTTGTTATGTTAATCCTCACCTGAGGATATTTTTCCACTGATTTTTTTTAGATAGAATGGAAGGGAGGGAGGGAGAGAAAAAGAGAGAGAGAGAGAGAAAGAGAGAGAGAGAGCAAGAACATCGATGTGGGAGACACACATCGATTGGTTGTCTCCCAAACAACCCTGACCAAGGCTGAGGATGGAACCTGCAACCCAGGTACATGCCCTTGACCGAGAATTGAACTCAAGACCATTCAGTCTGTGGGACAATGCTCTAACTGCTGAGCCAAACTGGCCAGGGCCGATTGATGTTTCTATCTCTCCCTTTCTCTCTTTCTAAAAAATCAATTAAAAAAATATTAATTTAGCCCTGGCCAGTTTGGCTCAGCGGTTAGAGCGTCGGCCTACGGTCCTGAGAGACCCGGGTTCGGTTCCCGCTAGGGGCATGTACTTCGGTTGCAGTTTGTCCCCGACCCTGGTTGGTCGTGCGGGTGGCAGCCACTCGATGTGTCCCTTCACGCCGATGTTTCTCTCTCTCTCTCCCTTCCTCTCTCTCCCTCCCACTCTATCTGTACAAAAAATGGAAAAATATCCTCGGGTGAGGATGAAAAAAAATATATATATATATATATATAAATTTAGCCCTGGCCGGTTTGGCTCAGCAGTTAGAGAGTCGGCCTGTGGTCCAGAGAGACCCTGGTTCGGTTACCACTGAGAGCACGTACCTCAGTTGCAGTTTGTCCCCGGCCCTGGTTGGATCGTGTGAGTGGCAGCCACTCAATGTGTCCTTTTCACGTCAATGTTTCTCTCTCTCTCTCCTTCCCACTCTATCTGAACAAAAAAATGGAAAAATGTCCTCGGGTAAGGATTTTTTAAAAAATTGAAAAAAATATTAATTTATCTTTATTGTTGAAAGTATTACAGATGTCCCCCCTTTTTGCCCCCATTGACCCCCTTCTTTCTGCTCCCATCCCTCCCATACTGAATCTTGAAGGAACAGCATTTGCTAGACAACAGAAGGATAAAATGGTAACCCAGGGAGGGAACTCATTTACAATATCATGGACCTCACAGCAGTTTGCTTTTCCCAGAGGGTAAAGGTGAAGAAGAGAATATACCTACCCAGAGAGGGTAGGCAGGGGCCAGATCTATAACTGATCATCTGTGATATACTAAGCACTTTAGATTTAATTCAAGGAGTGATCAGGAGTCCTTTAATAAGTTTAAACAAAAGCGTAACATAATTATATGTGGGATGGTTACTTTGTATTACTTGGGATAACGGTAGCATCATAGACTTCTTTGGAAGGTAGAAGAAGCAAATAGAAAAGTAATTCAGTCATTCATCCAGGGCAGCAACAGCAGGGATAGGTAGTACGGAGAAGGGAAATAGCAGATACTGCCAGCAGGACTTGGCACTTTGGAGACACATGTCATTGTTGTCTGGGACAAGAAGATTTCCCACAATGACTGTTTAAATTACAAGGCTTTCTGGTTAAACTGGTTAGGCAGTGATCATTGGCAGAGAGCGTAACCTAGATAGAATTAACTTATTCTTCCCTGGGTACCTGTAAATATGTAGTGCTTGATATTTATAATACTGAAAATATATTCTGTGGAATATAAAATTAAATATAAAATATAATCCCTTCTGGATTTTATTTATAAAGGAGATTTGCAGTCCTCCTCTTTGAATATTGCATCAAGATTTCCCATCTTCTGTCCAGCCGGTGTGGCTCAGTGGTTGAGTGTCGACCCATGCACCAAGAGGTCGCCAGTTCGATTCCCGGTCAGGACACATGCCCAGGTTATGGGCCCAATCCCCAGTGGGGGATGAGGGAGGCATGCAGGAGGCGGCCAATTGATGTTCTCTCCCATCAGTGTTTCTATCTCTGTCACCCTCTCACTTCCTTTCTCTCTAAAATCAATAAAAGAAAAATAAATAAAGATTTCCCATCTCCTTTGCAAAACTTGTCTGGGTTTTGTTTTCCTAACAGATTCTTCGGGCCCAAAGCCGAAGTGCAGGTGGAAGGAGGATCTCTGAAAACAGCTATTCTCTGGATGATTTGGAAATAGGGCCAGGTAAGCAGAGAATTCCATGTGCATGGTGTTCTCTGGAAAGTACTCATTTGTAAAAAGCCAATGCTTTTGAAGGAAGAGTGGCACAAATTAAAAGGAAGTCTATCTGTTGGATACAAGCCATTCCCAAATCTCATTGCTTTCCACAAACAGCTTCTCTGTACATATATATTTTTTTATCCTCACCCGAAGACATTTTTTGCATTTATCTTCAGATAGAGCAGAAGGGAGAGAGGGGGGAAGAGAGGGAGAGAAACATCGATGTGAGAGAGACACAACGAGTAGTTGCCACCCACACGACCCTGTATGGCTGGGGACAAACTGCAACTGAGGTACATGCCATTAGTGGGAATGAACTCACGACTCTCTGGCCCACGGGCCGACGCTCTAACCTCTGAGCCAAACCAGCCTGGGCATGTATTTTTAATCCATCCTCATCACTGGTAGCCGGTGCTAAACATATTACCGTTGTGGGATTCCAAGGGAAGTACTACAGACAGCTTTGGCTGCGTGGTCATCTGAGGCTTGAGAGCTCTCATGGATGGACAGCATCCCCTATTGGGTAGCTCAGTTGGTTAGAGCGTCATCCCCATTTGCCAAGGTTCTGGGTTTGATCCCTGGTCAGGGCACATATAAGAATCAACCAATGATCACTTCTTGGCCTGTTTGCTAAGATCAAGTGAAGAATCAACCAATGAATGCATAAATAAGTGGAACAACAAATCGATGTTTCTCTCTCTCTTTCTCTTTCTCTCCCTAAAGTCAATTAAAAAAAGAAAAAGGTTGGTTATCTGTACTACTGGTGGTAACAAAACACCTTGAGGGTGGAATTATTATGTGATAAAGGGCATATAAGGCACTGCACAAAAGAAAAATATAAGTTAATAAACATAATAAAATCATCAGCCTCCTAGTAATCAAAGAAATGCAAATAAGGTGACACTGAGATCTAATTTTTTTCACATGTTAAATAAGCCAGAATTTTAAAACATACAATACTGAATTATGATAAGGGTTCTCCTTTTAATGTTGGGAAGGTAGTGAGTGAATGTTACCACATAAATGACAGTTATATTCCTGCTTTCCTTGTTTGTACTCTTAAGAGAAGAAATTGATTCATTAGATTACAATAGCCTCAAATTGAGAATCTTGAAACCACTGAAATCACATTTTACTTTCTAATAAAGCATGTTTTTTTGTATGTTTCCAGGTCAAGTATCAACTTCTGCATTCAACTCGGAGAAAAATGAGACTAGGCGAAATCTGGAGATCCCACGCCTATCAGAAACCTCCATAAAGGATCGAATGGCCAAGTACCAGGCAGCTGTGTCCAAACAAAGCAATTCCACCAACTATACAGTATGTGTTCTGCATCATTCATTCATACATCCATCAAATGGTCACCAAGTACAGGAACTAGAAATGTCGCCAGACCCTGATTTGTGAGCTCTAGCTCCTTCCCTTGTCACCCGACACCCCCATTTCCTTTTCCGAGAAATCCTACCTTAGCTTTATTCTTCATCCCTACCATGTTCTTATCCTGTCTGCTTTCCTAGGCCTCATTCCTACCCCACTCATTTTTTTGTGATGTTGCCACTCGGTAATGTCATTGAGAGTTTTCCTGCGTCTTCTACTTAATCTTGTTGTTAAAGATTAGTATTTTATTAGTTTTAACAAAAACATCTATTTTATTTTTGATTTTGAGGGAAGAAAGGGCAAATAGTGCAGAGAAACATTAGATATATTCAACATTAATATGGAGTGGGATTTTTTTGCAATTTTTTATTCTATATACATATGACATAAAATCACCATTTTATGGACATAGATAACAAAGCTGGGGATGGGGTGAAGGGATGGGGAGGAGGGTGTCAAGGGGGAAAAGGGAGAAATGTTTGTAACAAAAACAAATTAATTTAAGAAAACAAAAACAAGAATAAAAAAATAAATAAAATCACCATTTTATAGTATACAATTCAGTAATTTTTAGTATATTCACAAGGTTGTACAACCATCACTACTGTCTAATTTCAGAACATTTCCATCACCCCCCCCCCCCAAAAAAATACTCATGCCTGTTCAGTCACTCCCAATTCCCCTGGCAACCACTAATTTACTTTCTCTCTTTATGGACTTACCTATTCTAGACATTTCTTATAAATTAAATTGTACAACATATGGCCTACTTAATCTTTACTCCTTGTGATGTAATGATTTTTTAAAAAAATAGAATAGTAAATGAAAAAGAGGAGAGAAATGGCAAGATGACGTACTCAGTAAGAACAAAATATTTGGTCTTCTAAATAAAATTAAGGGTCTTCCCATTTTATACTTACTTAGGCTTAACTGGCAGGATGACACTATGGAACTGCTTAATTAAAGTTACCTTTTTAAATTTTTTTCTTTATTGATTTTAGAGAGAGAGGGAGAGAGAGATAGAAACATCAGTGAGAGAGAACATTGGTTGGCCACCTCCTGCATGCCTCCCACTGGGGATCGGGACCACAACCTGGGCATATGCCTTGACTGGGAATTGAACTGGCGACCTCTTGATGCATGGGTCGATGCTCAACCACTGAGCCACACCGGCTGGGCTGAAGTTCCCTTTCAAATGCCATTTCTTCATATGTCCACACACATATATACACATGTACACATAACTATATATATATATTTCAAATATTTGTTCCTTCTAAGATTTCAAATTATAAACCATTAATCTCTTGATGTCCTATTTTTTAACAAAGTTGGAAGACTAGTATTGAATTTTATTTGTTCCTAGGCCAATTGAAATTGGTGCCTATTAGAAATCATGTGTGTTTCAGGTGTAGAGCCTTCTTTTTTCCACACTACTAAGTATGCATTCTCTAGTAGTATTTATTGGTGACCTAAGTCTCTGGGCAATGCATAATTTCATCTTGATTTTTTACTGTAATTTTAAGAATAGATGTGTGTAAATAAATAGTGAGTGTGAAAAATGAGCAAACATAGACTTCTCTTAGAGGCAGGTCAGGAGATACAGCAAGTCAGTGATCTGCGCAGCTTTATTCCCTCTTGTTACAGGATTTTGCTGCTTCTCAGTGCCCTTCTGCTATAAACATTCCTACAGGTGACTCCCTAAGTGGAAAAACCTGTTTAGTGGGGGAAAAAAAAGAACAAAAAAAAAAAAAACTCCTAATAGAGTTTCTGCATTGCAGTTCTCCATTTCTGAAGATTTTAAGAATTGAAATGCTTTAGGAATTCTTTATTTTATTTTATTTATTCATTCATTCATTCATTCATTCATTCATTCATTCATTCATTTAGGTACATGCCCCTAGCGGGAACCAAACCCAGGACTCTCTGGTCTGCAGGCCAACACTCCAACTGCTGAGTCAAACTGGCGAGGGCAATTTTAGGAATTCTTATAAAAAGGACATTTTATCTCATCCCAAAATAATTTCTTAGGCCCCTTACAGAGGATGGTTGTAACAAGGCACATACTCTAATGGCAGTGATTTTGGAGTCTGGGCTTTGAGATGGGGTCAGGAACAGTGGTTGGGCTACTATTGTCTTCTGCAGTGCTGGCTGCCAGCTCCTCCCTGCAGATGCACTTCCAGATGTGTGCCTTAATCTGGAATTGCATAGCTGAGTAAACCAGTTACACTCACACTCTCTTAATTGGCCCTGTGGCCATAAATTATTTGTTTTCTTCCCATGCCTAAAGAATCACAGAGGCTTGGCCCACCCATATGGCTCAGTGAATTGAGCCTTGTCTCATGGACTGAGAGGTGTCAGTTCAATTCCTGGTCAGGGCACATGCCTGGGTTGTGGGCTCAATCCCCAGTAGGGGGCATGCAGGAGGCAGTCGATTGGTGTTTTTATCTCTCTCCCTTCCTCTCTCTCAAAAAAAACAACAACAATAAAAACATAAAATAAAGTTAAAAAGAATCACAGAGAACAGAAAAGTACTAAATTTCTAGCAGACAAATGGTAAGAAATGTCGATATTCATCTACCTCTATATTGATTTTGGGTCTAATAGATAAAGTTAATGTTAATATTTTGCCCAAATGTTCTTTGCAAGGAAAAAAAATTGATTATGCTTATTCCTATGACAGTATTAATGCCTGCTTTTTAAGTTGAGGCTCTATTATGAGAAGTGGAATAAGGTATGTCTTTAGTACAATGTATGAATTTTATGCAAAACCATGTTTTTTAAAGTCTCACTAAAAAAGATTGTTTTATGGTATCATTAAAAATAATATGTTTTCATATGTATACATCATCCCTGTCTCTCTTTCCAGGCCGGGCATATGTATATATGGTCAGTATATTTTCTTAATTATTGGCACTTGGCATCTCCTTTCCCTGCTCCAGAATGTTCTTTTCTGATAAAACTCACAAGCTTTGCATTCCCACAAGCTCTGCTGCTAGAAGAGTGAATCACAAGAACGTGTATGCTGGGGTGGTCTGTGTGTGTGTCTATGTTGATGTGTCTGTATTCTAATGAGCATCCGGTTTTAGACTAGTGTACAAATATTTAACTCTGAGGTATGTGTCCACAAAGCTGCTTGTGTCTTTTCACAAGTCAATACGTTTTGCTTGTGAGAATTAGGGGATTGTTTGACCTGAAGCCTCTTAAAAGAAATTTTTTTTTCACATTCCAAGTTTACTTAATAGATGTGCTATGAAGAAAATAGAATATTGAGAATTTATTTTATTTTATTATTTTGAGAATTAAAAAAAAATATCACAGACTATTTTTATTTTCTAGAATGAATTGAGAGCCAATGGAAGTGAAATCAAAATTCATAAGTTGGAGCAAAAGGAGAATTTGCCCCCAGGTCCTGAGGTCTGTATCTCCCATCAGGATGGAGAAAAGGTGGGTTGAAAAGTCTGATGTCCAGTTGCCAAGGAAGCATGTGTTCTAAATTAGATGCTTAAAATTAGAAACCTCTAACTCTGGGCTGCAGAGTGTCTGGGAATTTGGTAACAGCTGCCAGGACAGATTGCTGTTTTTGCAGGTCACATAATTTCTGTTGGGGAGCTCTGCAACTTATAGCTGACCAAATAATGAACCTTCACTGGAAAATTCTTTTGCTCAGCCAATGCTCAGAGGGTGTAGAGCTAAAGTGATTTTTTAAAATCTGTTTTGATTAGAAATATGAGCTTCAAAGTATTTGTATATTATTAATTTAACATTTTATGCAGGAAAATTTCATCCTTTCACTCAAAGTATTTTGAAAGCTAGGCACTATGCTAAGCACAGGAAATGCTAAGCTTAAACACTAAATATGAACATACCATTCCATGTGGTCTTTATCTGCAAGGAAGCTAACAGTAGAAGGGAGATAAGCAACAAGTTGGCCATCATAAAACAGTGTGACCAGTACAGTGAGAGGGCTATGCAGGGCTGTGGAAACTGAGACTAAAAACATTTGCCCTGACTTCCCCAAGAAGATGATGTCTGAGCCAGGTCCTGAAAAATGTGTGGAAATAGGCTGAGAGAATAAGGAGAAGTCCAAGTAAAGAAAGAGAAGGGTATTCCAGACATAATAGAGGTTTGGAAATCAGAGATCTAAACCAAGATGACGCCCTGGCTGGTTTGGCTCAATGGTTAGAGCATCAGCCTGCAGACCAGAGAGTCCTGGGTTTGGTTCCCGCTAAGAGCACGTACCTTGGTTGCAGTTTGTCCCCAGCCCCGGGTGGGGTCGTGTGGGTGGCAACCACTTGATGTGTCTCTCTCACATCGATGTTTCTCTCTCTCTTCCTTCCTCTCTCCCTTCTGCTCTATCTGAAGATAAATGCAAAAATGTCCTCTGGTGAGGATAAAAAAAAAAAGTAAACCAAGATGACTTGGCTGGAGCAGGAGGTACATACAGGCAATGGTGAGAGACAGGTGGAGGGAGAGGACCAGAGTGGATCTTGAAAAGCTTTGTATGCCACCCTTAAGAGTTTGGATGTGTCCCTGGCTGGTTTGGCTCAGCGGTTAGAGTGTCAGCCAGCAGACCAGAGAGTCCTGGGTTTGGTTCCCGCTAAGGGCATGCACCTCGGTTGCAGTTTGTCTCCACCCTGTTTGGGGTCATATAGGTGGTGACCACTCAACATGTCTCTCTCACATCAATGTTTTTCTCTCTCTTTTTTCCTACCTCTCTCCCTCCCGCTCTATCTGAACATAAATGAAAAAAAAAATGTTCTCGGGTGAGGATTAAAAAAAAAAAAAAAAAGAACTAAGTAAATATGTTTGGAATATTTTTCTTATATATTATAAAATATACATTTAAGGGGAAAATATTCCAAGCATTGAAATCCCCCATTGTACCCTAGGGCAATGCCAGTTTGAGAAATGATTCTCTGGAAAACAATGCTTGGATTGTCCCTGTATCTAATTCCTTGTGTTCTTCTTGATTGGATTTATGCTGATTTGAAACTGGAACTCTGAGCTGAACTGGAGGATGAGATCATTTTAATTACAGCCTAAAAGAGCATCAGTGCAACTGAATCACGAATTGGGGAGTGGGTGCAGAAGAAAGGTGTTAAAGATCAGGCATTATCTTCAAGCCACACTGCAGGTTCATAAAGGCTTGGCTGCCTTAAAATTTATAAACTTTTCCAGAGCCTCATCTATCCTTTTGGCAATTTGCCTAGTTTTTGTTAACTAATACCTAAGAACTATTTAAACTTCCATTTGTTACAAAAGGACATTAATGCTAGGGTAAACTTGCCTCAAATAGAATATTTTTTAAAGGTAGTGTTCTTCCCTTTCTTCTCTTATGAATGAATTTGTACCTTCCCCTAATATAATGTTTGAGCAGAATCTCACATGCTTTCTCCTGGCTATTCCTGCAGTGAAGTCGTGTGGTTGGACATGTGTAATGATGTCATGACTGGCATTAGCTTTACCCTTTAGGTTCAAGGTGACCAAATTAGAGGTGAGAGAAGAACATCCTGGGATGGATGCACCTACTAATTAGCAAGAATTGAAGAGCCTTTTATAGCCAACTTCCAAAAATTTTATTTTGCGCACAGCCAGTATAGTTTAGTAGATTGAGCATCGTCCCATGGACTGAGAGGTCCCAGTTCGATTCCCAATCAAGACACATGCCTGGGTTTTGGGCTCGATCCCTAGTTGGGGGTGTGCAGGAGGCAGCCAATTGATGTTTCTATCTCACATCAATGTTTTTATCTTTCTCTATAAAAATCAATAAAATATATATATTTTAAAATTTTTATTTTGTGTCATTAAATGAAATAATGCATGTAAGTTGATCATTTCAGTGATCATAGTAAAGACTCAGTAAATATTGGCTATTATTATATTGGTTTGTTTTATACCATGTCAGAATTCCTGTAATGAAAAGAGAGTGGTGGGGAAAATGACCATGCTGAAATTCAGGTGCAGTCAGGCAACTTAATCTCCAATGTTTTATCATAAATTGATTCAGTACATTATACAGCCTGATATAAACTCTCAGTATCACTCATAAAATCCTTGACGTCTGAGTAAAAGAATTATTACATGAAGAGAGCACATTTGGTCACTTATTAACCCCTCATTATTTTGAGTGTAGAGAAAGATCCCAGGAAGGTCTAGGGGCAAGCAGAAAGGAAAGATAAAGCTAGTAGAAAGTCCCTTTATTTAAATTTTATGGCTTCTGGGAAAAATATACACCTGTACATAAGACCTGCCATCTTATTAAACACTGTTGTTTTGAGACAGGGATTAAAAAGGGGAAACTAACCTTGAAGGTAATACCGGAGGTTAGTTTTATTTTTTTTTAAATCCTCACCCGAGGATATTTTTTTCCTATTTATCTTCAGATAGAGTTGGAGGGATGGAGAGAGAAAGAGAGAGAGAAAGAAACATTGATGTGAGAGAGACACATCGATTGGTTGCTTCCTGCACCACCTCAACCAGGGCTGGGGACAGAACCACAACCGAGGTATATGCCCTTGACTGGAATCGAACCCACTACTCTTTGGTCCTCCAGCTGATGCTCTAACTACTGAGCCAAACCTGCCAGGGCTGGAGATTGGTTTTAGATACATTTGTTTTATAGCTATCAGAAAGTCTTCTGTACTAGCAAGCTTGTTTCAGCAGAATATATTTGGTTGGGAAATAAGGAATTAGGAAACTTAAAGAATAAGAATGGTTTTGCCCAGCTGGTGTGGCTCAGTGGTTGAGCGTCAACCTATGCACCAAGAGATCACCAGTTCAATTCCCAGTCAGGGCACATGCCCAGGTTGTGGGCCAAATCCCCAGTGGGGAGCATGCAGGAGGCGGCCAATTGATGTTCTCTCTTATTGGTGTTTCTCTCTCTCTCTCTCTCTAAAAATCAGTAAAGAAAAAAAAATTTTTTTTAAAGAATAAGAATGGTTTCTATATGTAAAGACTTTATTTTGCCTTGGGTTATGATTATATGAGTTATGGTTTATGGTAAGGAGTTTTGCTCTCCCTGATAGAGGGTTTTGTTTGCCACCCCCTCCCCAATTTTTTAGAGAGAATTGAAAGATATGGTTTAGAAATTCTTTTATAATGAGAGATGATGCAGAATTTTGGCAGTGGAGTTCAGTCTGTTTCTGCCCTTACTCTGTAATTGAGCGGCAGTTAATATCCTCATAAAAGACATTTTGCTGCCTCTTGTTTAAATGCTCAGCTGTTCTGGGGCCCGTTATTTCCCCCAGGCAGCCAGTGACTGACTGGAGTCAGCAGGTTTTTATGGCATTAACAGCAGTTTGCTCATTTATTTTTAATGTGATTCTTAATCCCATCCCTCTTTTTTTTGTAGGTTTCTGCAACTGAGAATAGCCTGGCAGTCCGTTCCACTGCTGCTGAAGTTGACTCCTGTAAGTATTCGTTCTTAGATCTGGAGAGTGTCCCCACTGCTATCAGTGCTGAGAAAGTAACATTAAATTCAGCTGATCAGATCCTTCACTTGGTTTTAAGGACTGATACTTGAATACCCTTCACACATTCCATGGTCTGGGGCGAAGTTAAATTCAATTATATATGATTAACTTGGGGCAAACTGAATACTTTTGATGCTTCTCTCATTGAACTTATCCTATTTTTTGTACCAAATCTTTTCATGTTTAAAGCTGTAAAAACTAATTTTAATAAAAGTTTAGCCAAGGATTTTATTCATTTACACACAGGGATTAAGAATTGGTATTTGAGTAGCCTGTTGAAAATATCTTTCCCTATTTATCTAACTGTGTACCATAGTCCACCCTCTAGCCAGATTCTAGAGATGTTTCTGTTGGTGTTGAATTTCATCACCTTTCATCCTGTTTTGGAGTGATTTTGAGTCTTAATTCTCCCAAAGATAAAAAAAACCTTCAGTTTTTTTTTTCTTTATTATATCCACTTTGATTCTGATTTTCAGTGTTTTATATATATTTGGATTTCTGCCTTCTCCCTAGTTAATTCGTTTATTAGACACTGAAAACTCAGCAACTAAAGTAGAAGTACAAACTAAACAAGTCTCTAATAAACCCTACCTTAAAAATTCAGAGAGAAGTCCAGCCAGTGTGGCTCAGTGTTTGAGCATTGACCCATGCACCAAAAGGTCACCGGTTTGATTCCTGGTCAGGGCATATGCCTAGGTTATGGGCCAACTCCCCAGTGGGGGGCATGCAGGAGGCAGCCAACCGATGTTCTCTCTCATCGATGTTTCTATCTCTCTCTCCCTCTCTCTTCCTCTCTCTCTAGAACATCAATAAAGAAAAAAAAATCAGAGAGAAACTTTTGCTGCTAGAATCCAGGAATATTCCGTTTGCAGTCATTCTGCTTGGACTAGAATGTTTTCTGGCCCTGGTTCATGCAACTCAATTGGTTAGGCGTTGTCCCATGCACCCAAGGGTTGCTGGTTGGATTCCTGGTCAGAGCATGTGCCATCTCCGGAGGGGGACATACAGGAGGCAGCCAATCCATGTTTCACTCTCACATCAATGTTTCTCTCTTTCAATCTCTCTCTAAAAATCAATAAAAAGCCCTGGCCGGTTTGGCTCAGCGGTTAGAGCGTCGGCCTGAGGTCCTGAGAGACCCGGGTTCGGTTCCCGCTAAGGGCACGTACCTCGGTTGCAGTTTGTCCCCGGCCCAGGTCGGTCGTGCAGGTGGCAGCCACTCGATGTGTCCCTTTCACATCGATGTTTCTCTCTCTCTCTCTCTGTTCCTCTCTCTCCTTCCCACTCTACCTGAACAAAAAATGGAAAAATGTCCTCGGGTGAGGATAAAAAAAATAAATAAATAAATAAATAAATAAATAAATAATAAAAATCAATAAAAATATTTTTTAAAAAAGGAAAAAACTTTCTGAATTTTGACTAGGTTTGTAAAACATTTTTTTGAGAAATAAGCCTTAATCTTTTAGTACTTTGTTGACTTAACTTTAGATTACAGAGAATTTATGTTTCCTTAGTAGCTGTGTAAATGACTTTTCTGTGTCTCTTTTGAGTTTTCTACACAATGAATATATTGACAGGAAATTAACTCATGCAGGCGACACGTCAGTGATTATGAAAAAAAATTTCATGGAGCCTTTTTTCCATAATTTTTATCCATGGATATTTGCTATGGGACTGACCAAAAAGACAGTCAAATTTATTTCACATATAGCCAGTGTGGCTCAGTGGTTGAGCATCAACCCATGCACCAAGAGTCTTTGGTTCAATTCCCAGTCAGGGCACATGCCCAGGTTGTGGGCCCAATCCCCAGTGTGGGGCATGCAGGAGGTGGCCAATCAATGTTCTCTCACATCAGTGTTTCTATCGCTCTCTCTCTCTTCCTTCCTCTCTAAAATCAATAAAGGGAAAAAAACATTTTTTTTTAATTTCTTTCTTTCTCTCTCTCTTTCCCTCATATGTGTTGTGAAATTTCTGCTCTCAGGCACCCCAGAAGGAGTTACTGGAAGTGCTAACTACCAAAAAGTCATCAAAGTTTATAAACAGCCTTTTAAAATGACAAAAGTGCCCTGCTCTGTGTTGCTCAGTTGGGCATCATCCCGTGCACCAAAAGGCTGATGGCTGGATTCCCATCAGGGCATGTGCCCAGGTTGGGCAAAATCCCCGGTAGGGGGTGTGTAGGAGGCAGCCAATCCATGCCTTGTTCTCACATCCATGTTTCTCTCTCTCCCTTTCTCTCTCTTTGAAAAAAAAAAAAAAAAAATCTTTTAAAAAAGTAACAACAAGAGCTACAGGGCAGAAATTTCCTTCTATAGGGTGGTTTGGATTTTCACAGTTTGTGGCAAAGGGTGAAAAGCCTCCTGGCTGAGAACCTGATTTGTGAGAGAACCTAAGAACATAGCTTTTAGCATTAGACTATTTTGTAGTAAAAAAGCAGTGTTTTTTCTGGTGTTAAAGGACATGTTATTAGTAAAGGTTTCTAAACTTTGCTTTGGGAAGGAACCTTTTCTGAGACTTCCCATGAGGTACTAAAAATGTCTTCCTTTTGTAACTCAAGCAGGTAACTCCCAGGTTAAGAGTGAGGTCCAGCAACCTGTTCATCCCAAGCCACTAAGTCCAGATGCCAGAGCCTCCAGCTTTTCTGAAAGTTCTCCTCCCAAAGCAGTGAAGGTATGATGGCAATTTCTCTCTAAGCCTTTAGATATTGGTTTGCTAGTGAAGTTCATTACACCTCTATCATTATGTTCATTATAACCTGTTTTTGCTTTCCTGGGGATAAAAATACCAAATAAGGACACACTTAAGGCCAGTCACTTTTCCTGGAAATCTTGCTACTTCTGCTCAGATGTTTGGGTCAGGAAGTGGGGGGAAGCTCTCTAATAGCACTCAGTTTGAAATCTAGAAAACTTATGAAAGTTTTAAGAAAACCTGAGGTTAAAGAAAATAACCTGATTTTTTTAAAAGTCCAAGTCCATAAATCTGTGAGTGGGGAAATATGAGAATTCCGTTAGACTAAAATGAGCCCATTGGACAGGAATGTGCAGTGTCAACTTCAAGACAGTGGCTCCCTGGTCTGAGGAACTTGACCATTACATGATTAGTGGTCAGCATATTTACAGAAAGAATGTGTACATTCCAGTGGGGGTTGGCCAGCCCATTTGATGTAAAAATGGACATTCAAGTAACACTTATGCTTTAATATAATATTAGATGTTAAGGAATGTACAAAATTTTTGTACCCTAAGAAAATGTTACTTGGCTATTCAACCTATGATTTCTTTTTATTCACCAATTTTTAAAACTATCTTTTCCCTTTCTGTGAACAAATATATATTCCCATAAAAATAAACAAAGATAAAAAATCAACACCTGTTGTAGGCTGATTATTATTAAAACTGACTTGTTTTCATTGAATGCTTTGCTAATGTTGTGCTAATTTACTCATTAGAATTAATAACCAAACATACCCACATTTCTTTTTTTCTTTTTTTTAATTTTTTGGTACGTGCCCCTAGCGGGAACCGAACCTGGGACTCTGTGGTCTATAGGCCAATGCTCCAACCGCTGAGCCAAACCGACCAAGGCCCCACATTTCTTTAGTGTCTTTCTCCTCTGGTGCTCTCTTAAGTTTTGTTCCAAAACTTAACATTTGAGAGAAACTCAGCAGGCAGGATTAGATTTCAGGTTGTTTCTACTGCCTCATCCTCACGCACACATCTGTCATGCTTGTTTCAACTTGGGCATGCTTGGTCCCTTGATGAAAGTTCTAGTGCACAAAAAGGATGAAGAGAAGGGGACACAGGTGAGGAAAGGGGAGGATCCGGGATTTAAAAGGTAGATTAAAAGGGAGGGGAGGGGTAAAAAGGTAAACATGAACATTTCAAAGGAAGCAGAGATTTCATAAGAAGAGTAAGGTTTATTGAAAAGAAGCAAAAGGTAAAGAAAGTAGCAAGAGAAAGTGAGTACAGGGAGAAAAAACTGAATTATAGTGATTGAATCTGCACATGTATTCAACATGACCTCCTTCTGTGCTGGCCTTAAAGATCTGCTCATCAGCACTTTTCTTTTTCCAGCATTTGGAGTCCAACAAAGTAGGACATGCCACAGGGTTAATTTCCTCTTCAATAGCAGCCCTGCCCAGATGTGAGTCCTTGGGTTATAGTTCTGGATCAAGAACAGCTAGCAAATCTGACTTGGCCATGGATTCTGTGTGACTGAGAGACTAGGGAAATTCCATGGCTAATCTAAGAACTGAAATCTGTTCTAGTATTTTTGAATTCTCGGTCCAGTCTTAAATGCCTCCGTCAACTGCTAGACCAGACCTCCTAGTCCTTGGTTGGATCTTTAAGATCCTTCCTGATTCAAACTCCAGGCTCTGAGGTGATGAGCAACAAACATCTCACTTAGGTCTTCCTGACATACCATGAAGAGGAGATGTAGGTAAGGCTCCCTGTGCACCTTCCCCAGCTCATGCCTGCTTCATTGGCCCTGGTCACTCAGCAGTAGACTACAGACAGGCCTGCTTTCATCAGCCATGCACCTCGGGTTTTGCACATTGTCTAAAGACTGGAGTGAACTGGCCCACTGCTTATTTTTGCCTATGGTTCAAAGCTCAAATGGTTATGGTGTACAGAGCCTGGGGGGGATCCAATCTCAACTCCACTTTTGTTTAAGAGCAGTTTATTTTTTCTTCCTCAAATGTCCCTTTCCATTCTGCAGGCAAGTATATAGATACTTAGTATTTATAGGAAGACCTGCTGGTATAACTGATCTCGTGGTTATAGACCATGCAACAGAAGTTGTTTCTCCATTTTGGGAAATTACATACAGTTAAGAATAAACTTGTTCACTCAGAATAGATTTTTGGGTCCCATGAAACCTGGAAAAATTCTTTCTTAGTGCCTCGTCATTTATTGAAAATAGGACATCTAGCCCTGGCCAGTTTGGCTCAGCGGTTAGATCGTTGACCTGAGGTCCAGAGAGACCCGGGTTCAGTTCCCATAAGGGCATGTACCTCGGTTGCAGTTTGTCCCTGGCCCTGGTTGGGTCGTGTGGGTGGCAGCCACTTGATGTGTACCTTTCGTGTCAATGTTTCTCTCTCTCTCTTCTACTCTCTCCCTCCCACTCTATCTGAACTAAAATAAAGAAAGCAAGAAAAAAAGAAAAAGAAAATAGGACATCTAGCCCTGGCCAGTTTGGCTCAGCAGTTAAAGCCCACAGACCAAAGGGTTTCGAGTTTGATTCCCGTTCAAGGGCACATACCAGGGTTGCAGGTTTGATTCCCAACTCCGTCGGGGTCATGCAGAGGCAACCAATCAATGTGTCTCCCTCACATCAATGTTTCTCTCTCTCTCTCTCTCTCTCCCACTTTATCTAAAAATCAATGGTAAAATAATCCTCAGGTGAGGATTAATAAAAAACAAAACAAAACAGGCCATCTAAGGATGAGACTCAATTCATTTCAAAATTTAGCTTAATTAAAAAAAAAAATACTAGTCCTTAAAAGTAAGCATTTTATATATTTTGAACACTGGCCAAATAGCTTAGTTGATGAGACTTGGTGATAATAAAGTTGAAGTTGCAGGTTCCTTCTTAAAAATGTGTTATTCTGGGTACAGAGCTCAGTGGACACTGTGAGAAGGATCAGAACCTTTTGACTTAAGAGACCTAGACGTCTCTTAAGCTTTATGTTCTCCCGTTGAAAGAAAGTATCCCCTAAATGTTCCCAGAGGGGAGGATAAGGGAGGAAATACAAGGAGATGAAGCTGACCTGGAACACCCACTTGCCCCCACTGTGTCTGGGACAGCCTAGTCCCAGACTTCCTTGGCTGGACCTGCTCATGAATGTGGCGAGAAAACATGGCAGACAGCATGAGAGGACATGCACTGTGGCACCCCTTCCATGCCCTGCCAGCTGCCCCTTCCTTTACAGACAGGGGAAGAGGTTTTATGCTCTTTTGCAGAGTGATCAGAATTATGCTAGAAGGGCATCCAGAATCTTTTCTCATTATCTACATCATTACTGCTTTCTAGAGCACTAACCTTTCCTCTGCGTGAAAGCAGTCTATCGAAGATGTGAATATCCCCAAAACACTTTCAAACAGTTTCACAGAAAGCTATGGGAAGGGTTAAGGCTGCATAGAACTGGCCCAATCATTTACTGTGTGGTGAATAATTTTAATTTACTTACCTAGGTATTTTGCACAAATTGGAAGGAGAGAATGACAGGCATTTTGTGGTGGTCTGAGGAATGGAGGTCTGACGTCAATACAGAATTTTCTTCTGATTTTACTATGTCTAAAGGCTAGTTAACTTCACTGCCTGTTGCCAGCTGCTGCCTCCCCCCATAATATACACATATATACCCCACTGGAGCCTTCGTTAAACTAAAAAATATACTTAAGATAGAGTGAAAGAATATAGATGAAGTCATACACTTGTTGGAAAAAATAGCTTTAAGTAGATGCTGATTAGCATAGGCCTGTAAGATCCCTCAGATAGGAAAGACATGACAGTGTTTATGAACATCAATTATTTATATATTACCTCATTCATTCCTAAATATCCCAAAGTTATTATCTACATATTTTAAATTGAAACAAAGACTGTAGTTTATTCAAAGTGCTGTAGTGAGATTATTTTCATTTGGGTTAGCATCTGCTCTCTTTCCCCAAAGAGTTCCCTTTAGTTATGGAAATTTAACATTCCAGGAAAAATTAGAAAATGCTCTGTTGGTTTGTGAGTTGGTAGTTCTGAGTTTTAATTTATTGATCATAAGAACTTTGATAAGGCATCTGACATGCTGGTATGTTCATTTCTACATGTGAAAATGGGCAAGGGAGAGGAGATCAAAAACATCTTACATATTAAAAATATTTATAGTAAAGATAAAAAATGTCTAACATTCTAATATTGGCCGTGTTTTAAATGTGACTGTGCCAAGTCTGAGCATGCCATGAAGGCATGGGCAGGATGTACGCCAGGCCTACCATAATGGTAGAGATTTTTGGGCATTGACTATGCTTCCTGTTGTCTGAATAGACATGGGGGCAATTATAGAAAAGTGGCTGAGAGCCCAGGACAGAGGAAATAAAGGGAAGGCACAGCCGCAGCCACTCTGACTTGGCATTATACCATGTTGGCATCCTTTTGTCTTTATGAAACTATAAAGGCCCTTGGGCAGCTGCCTCATAAACTTTAAATAATATTAAAAAGAGTTTATGTAAAAATGAATAAGGATAATAGGAATCTGGTAGGTCTGGCTAGTTAGAAACTTGGAGTTAGTCAGATATTTGAGCAGCAGTCTATAGGCATACCTAGAGATACCGTGGGTTCAGTTCCAGACCACCACAATAAAATGAGTTGTAATTTTTTGCTAATGGAGGGTCTTGCCTTTAATTAAAAAACAAAAAACAAAAATACACATCATCTGTGAAGTGCAATAAAACAAGGTATGGCCTATATGATTTTGATATTAAGGAAGAAGAATGATGTTTCACTTGTGTGGGTGAAGGCTCCATTCAAGAGAGAGTCAAGGTGGGTCAGGTGTGGGAGGTAGTAAGACACTAAAGAATTGTTAATGAAACACTCCTAGTGTAGGTGAAGGCTCATAAAAGCCTTGTCTCCTGAGCTGGTACATGTTCCAGCCTCAAGTAGATAGATATGAGTGGGGCTGATTTCACCACGATTAGCAGTTAGTTGAAAAAGAAAGAAAACATGGTCTTATTCGTGGATCTGAGTCTGTAACTGAGTTACAGCTCAGCTGCAGTAATGCGCTGCAGGGCGCTCCAGATGCCGTGTATTCATTGAAGGTTCCTGTTTGTCTCTTCCAGCTTCTGCTTCCTGCTCCTGGTACCTAATTTCTGCTCCTGCCTTCCACTTTCCTCCTAATGTGAGCTCAACTTTCAGCTTTCTCTCAGGTTCTCCCTTCTATTCACTGGGCTGTACCCCTCTCCTACAGTGTGTTCTGTGTGTGTGTACAGTGGAGGGGTGCTCTTTAACCCTTCGTTCCCCCTTAGTGGAATAATACCCATTTCCTCCTATACCATGTGAAATTTGTCTCCTGCTCTGTTTTTACTGACCAGAATGAATACTTATTTTCCTAAGTCAAGTGTTCAAAAAAATACAGAATCCACCCTGCAGCTGAAAAATATTTTCAATCTGATAAATTCATTTGTCCTATTACTTTTACATTATGTGAATTGTGATTTGTATGGGCTCTGTCCAGTGGCTTCATTTGTATTATACCCAATTATTCTGCATTTTAATGTGCCTCCTGCTTGCTAGATAAGGTCCTAGTCCTTTCAGAGAAACCTAATTAAACTATTCGAGGACATCTCCACTTAAGTCCTATCTTGTTAGAAGTGTTCATAAGAAAAAAAGAATTCAGAGCTCCAAATAATGCCTTAATTATTCCCAACAGCATTCAGTATAGTAACATTTGATTACAGTTAAATACCTCCCTTATGCTTGATAAACTAGATTGTAGCCTCTGGTCTTTGATTCTTTCATTTTTCTTTTAGGACTATACCCTTAGAGATGGATTGAGGTTGTTATTGAGGAGCCATTTCCAATCAGTTCTGCTTCTTCATTCTTAATCCTTTGGTGCTATTTGGGAGTTTCCCACTAATTTTATTAAACTCCTTTTAAAAAAAAATGTTTTTAGTTTTATAGCGGGGGGAGAGAGAGAGAGAGAGAGAGAGAGAGAGAGAGAGAAACATCTCTCGGCTGCCTTCTGCATGCCCCCGACTGGGGATCAAGCCCAAAACCTGGGCATATGTCCTGACTGGGAATCGAATCAGGACCTCTCAGTTTGTGGAATGATGCTCAATTTACTGAGCCACACCAGACAGGCTGTTATACTCCTTTTTACAGATCTTTCCCTTTACCTCCATTTTATGCCCATTTTCTATTCTTTTTTTTTTTTTTTAATCCTCACCCAAGGACATTTTTCCATTTTTTGTTCAGGTAGAGTGGGAGGGAGAGAGAGGAAGAGAGAGAGAGGGAAACATCAATGTGAAAGGGACACATTGAGTGGCTGCCACCCACACGACCAACCAGGGCCGGGGACAAACTGCAACCAAGGTACGTGCCCTTAGCGGGAACCGAACCCCAGTCTCTCTGGACCGCAGGCCGATGCTCTAACCGCTGAGCCAAACCGGCCAGGGCCCATTTTCTATTCTTATTTCCTGTGCAAATCTGCTTGAAAAACCATTTCTGTTTTTTGCTTTACAAGTGAACCAGCAGTGTGAATTTGTTTATGGGTCTATATGCAGGGTTTTTAAAAAAATCAAAACTCTGTCTTGCCCATACCTGGTTTATTTTAGGATTACCTTAACCATTCAGGTCCTGGGCCTTGTAGCTGATTTGCATTATTTAGAAACATTGGTCTTGGCAGCAAAGGGGCCACCAACGTATCTGTGAGAGCTTCTTGGCCACCTTAATGTAAGCTGCTTCTGCATTTACTGGTTGAGGTGTTTCTGTTGAAACAAGTCGAGGGTTACACACACCTAATGACTTGGTACCTTCATCCCTAGTAGCCATGTAACCATTTCTTATTATATAAAAACTCACTATTTTGGACCCTGGCTGGTTTTGCTCAGTGGTTAGAGCGTCAGCCTGCGGTCCAGAGAGACCCTGGTTCGGTTCTCGCTAAGGGCAGGTACCTTGGTTGCTGTTTGTCCCTGGCCCCAGTTGGGGTTATGTGGGTGGCAGCCAGTCGATGTGTCTCTGTAACATTGATGTTTTTTTCTCTTCCTCCCTCTCTCCCTCTCGCTCTATCTGAAGATGAATGCAAAAAGTGTCCTCGGTGAGGATAAAAAAAACTTACTGTTTTGGAATTCTGGCTTTCATCAGTGTTAGAATACCAACTATTTTATATTCTTTAGGACTGAGTTTACCAGCTAGAACAGCTGTGCTCACTGCACCCTATTCCACACTTTACAAACTGTTCATGATTCCCAGTCAGTTATGACTTCCCATCCCATTATGTTGTTTTTATTCTCTATTGGTGTGTTTAAAAGACGATAGAACCTATAGCTTTATTGGGCTATGCTTTCTTCTGGAATCCTAATAAAATAGTTTGTGTCTCTTTTAAATTGTTCCATTTATGTGTCAGTTTTGACTTATTTTTAAAAGATTATGCCTGGTGAATTGAGCAGGTCAAGATTATAAGCAGAAGGAACTGAAAGATGCTTTATCAAAGTGTCTTTTTTTAATTACTAAAGCCAAATGCTCTTCCTCTCCTTGAAAATTTCCCCTTCAGAATTTGTTCTTATAAAAGTCTGTCCTGTTTTTCCTTGACACTTGAATGAAACAATCAAACGTCTTTCTTCTTGTGTGTGATTTTCTCCTAATTTCCTGTCTGCGGAAACATTTTGTATGTACCATTTTGTGTGTGTTGTGGCCTGTCTAAGCCTTTCTCCACAGTCTAGCCCTAGTCCCACCCATCCTCAGTGGCTGCTAACACTTAGGGCAGCCAAACAGTCTGGGAAAGGAATTCAGAACAGCCCCTTGTCTTCAAAGAGTCAGCTGATAGAATCACAGCGGACTTAGTGTTCCTGTGAGAAATGACAGATCAGGTTAGGGAGCCCTTAGACAACAGAAGTAAATTTCAGGGCCCATCTCAGCAGAGGACTAATTCATCTCTGCCTATGCTAAGTGAAAGTCGCCCTTTTCCTTTTCCTAGAAGTTTCAGGCACCTGCAAGAGAGACCTGTGTGGAATGTCAGAAGACAGTCTACCCAATGGAGCGTCTCTTGGCCAACCAGCAGGTGTTTCACATCAGCTGCTTCCGTTGCTCCTATTGTAACAACAAACTTAGGTAAGCCAGCACTGGTACTAACAGCTATTGTACTGATAGAGTACTATTAGTTGAAAGCCCCTGGAAAAGGAAAAAGTATCGTTTAGTGACAAGTATTTCATATCAAATGGTAACAGTGTTTGGAACTTCCTGGTATATTGATACATTAATTTATATGTTAGGACTGAAGCTTACATCATAAGGTTGTAGGTAAAACCCTCTGTGGCCTAATTCAGTAGAACGTTTTCTTTTGGTGTCATAGAATCATAAAGAAATCCAAGGAGGATAATCGTCTAAGCCCTTACTTCAGAGTGTCCTGAGCACTGTATAAATGGTAACAGTGGCAATAATTCTGGACCCTGAAGAGCATGTATTTTTCTGTATGTTGCTTTATTTTCTTTCTCAGAAAATAATCATTATATATACCATTTCCTCCAAGTAACTCAAAGTATGGATGTAAATGTAGCAAATTGGGAGAATATTCTGTATTAACTCATTGTAGTTATAGAGTCTAGAGAAGAGAGAAACCAGATGTCACTTCCTCCAGCTTTCCTTCCAGAGCAAGCATCCCTTCTAAAATGCTCTTGAAAGATATCCTGGCATTTGCATGTCACTTCTGTGGGCTTGATGCCTCACGGCAGCTAGTGCCAGTGTTAGATAGCTCTAGCTCGGCAACATTCCTTCTGTTGAACCAAAGCATGCCTCTCTAACTTCCTCTCTTTGGTTCTTTTCTGCCCATTGTATTTTTTTTTTCCTCCAAAGCACATTTTAGTGAATGTTTGCATTTTTATATTTCTTCAGTGGAAATGCTGCTGTTTTTATAATCCCCTTTAAAATTTCTTACCCTGTGAGAGATACCAAATCTCCTAAAGGCCTGTCCAGCACTGACATTAGGGTAGTCTTACTTCCCTGCTACTGCTCACTGTTCTCCTGTGTACTAACTGTAGCTTACTTATATTCAACCACCAGTATCTGTTGAGAGCCAGCTGGTTGCACCCATTCCTGTAGAGATATGTTTTTAAATTATAACACAAATGGGAAACTAAGAGGAAGAAGATTAAACTTTTGACAAAGGAATATCATTATAAGTAGTCATAGGTTGTAACTACTTAGGAAATATATAAGTAATCAGAGATAGGTGGGATTATCTAGGCAAGACTTCCTAGATGAATTTTTTAAAACAGTTTTGACAAAGGGTAATGAAATTATTAGAAAATGGGAGTATATACCAGGTAGAAGGATATCTTGTGATGGGTCAGGTCTGGAAATGACCTTTTTTTTTTTTTGGTACATGTCCCTAGCAGGAACCGAACCCGGGACTCTCTGGTCCGCAGGCCGACACTCCAACCGCTGAGCCAAACCAGCCAGGGCAAGCATGCTTTTTATAAGGATAATAAAACAATTGTGCTTTAAAAAGGTAGAGAATCTTAGGTGATTGGTGTGCTTTTTTAAAAATATGATTTTTTCAAAAATATGTTTTTATTGATTTTTTTAGAGAGAAAGGAAGGGAAAGAGAAACAGAAACATTGATGTGAGAAAGAAACATCGATTGACTGCCTCCTGCATGCCCTCTACTGAGGATCAAGCCCAAAACTCAGGCATATGCCCTGACTGAGAATCGAACTGAGAATCAGTCCATGGGACAACGCTCAATCCACTGAGCTACACTGGCCGGGTGATTGATATGCTTTTAAAGATATTTTTCTCACCTGGCCAGTGTGGCTCAGTGGTTGAGCATCGACCCATGCACCAAGAGGTCACCGGTTCAGAGCACGTGCCAAGGTTGTGGGCCAAATCCCCAGTGGGGGGCATGCAGGAGGTAGCCAATCAATGTTCTCTCTCATTAATGTTTCTCTCTCTCTCTCTCCCTTTCCCTTCCTCTCTCTCTAGAAATCAATAAAGAAAAAAATTTTTTTGAAATAAATAAATAAAGATATTTTTCTCCCTTGTCATCTTCTGAAAATACTGGAATGACAAGATTTCAGCCTGCTGGTGTAAATAAGAATATACAGATTTGTTAACTTTATGCTTTTTCTTTTAACAACAGTCTAGGAACATATGCATCATTACATGGGAGAATCTATTGCAAGCCTCACTTCAATCAACTCTTTAAATCTAAAGGCAACTATGATGAAGGTTTTGGGCACAGACCACACAAGGATCTATGGGTAAGCAAAAATGAAAATGAAGAGACACTGGAGAGACCAGCCCAGCTTCCAAATGCAGGGGAGACCCCTCAGAGCCCAGGGGTAGAAGATGCCCCCATTGCTAAGGTGGGTGTGCTGACTGCAAGTATGGAAGCCAAGGCCTCCTCTCAGCCAGAGAAAGAAGATAGGCCAGCTGAAACCAAGAAGTTAAGGATCGCCTGGCCACCCCCCACTGAACTTGGCAGTTCGGGAAGTACATTGGAGGAAGGGATCAAAGTATCCAAACCCAAATGGCCTCCTGAGGATGAAATCAGCAAGCCTGAAGCTCTGGAGGATGTAGATCTGGATCTGAAGAAGCTAAGACGATCTTCTTCACTGAAGGAAAGAAGCCGCCCATTCACTGTAGCAGCTTCATTTCGAACCACTTCCGTCAAGAGCCCAAAAAACTTGTCCCCGCCTTTCAGGAAGGGCTGGAGCATGTCAGAGCAGAGTGAGGAGCTTGCAGGAGGAATAGCAGCAGGAAAGAAACAAGTGGAAAATGCCAACACCTCTGAGAAGAATGGGAGTGTGGGAAAAACAACCTGGCAAAACAAGGAATCTAAAGGAGGGGACGCAGGGAGGAGAAGGAGTGGGGAAGTTTATGGTTTTGAGATGGGTAGTGAGAATCTTGTAGAAAATGGTGCAAACTTAAATGAAGATGAAAGAAACCTTTTCAAACAGCAGTCTCCACTAGAACCCAAGTCTCCAAATTGGTCCAGCTTTGCAGACAACACCTCCACTAAAGAATTCACTACTCAGAATCAGAAGTCCCAGGATGTGGGATTCTGGGAGGGAGACGTAGTCAAAGAGCTGTCTGTAGAGGAGCAGATAAAGAGAAATCGGTACTATGATGAGGATGAGGATGAGGATGAGGAATGATAAATTGCAATGGTGCTGGGCCTTACATTTGTGATAGTGCTAGTGAGCCACTGCCCTTTATCAGAGTGATGTATGTAAACAGTTATCTTAGCATAAACTGGAATTTATGCGGAAGTAATTTTGGGAAACAGTTCTTGCTTTGAAAAAAAATCTCATACTGCAGGTTATCTCTAAATGCTAGAGATAACATTACCTAAATCCTCTATTTTAGCCATGATGACACACATATGTGCTTTAAGGTCTTATAAAGGAGGAGGGGAATATTCCAACTGATATAGTCCAGATTCCACTGTATTCCTCAAGGGCCATATAAAATAGATAGATGATTAGTATAGTACATTGTTACACTAAAAATTCAATCATACAGAAGGATTTAGAGACTTAAACATTATGACTGAATGCACTTTAGTATAAAGGGCACAGTTTGTATATTTTTAAATGAATACCAATTAATTATTTAGTAGTCAACTATTGAGAGATCAACTATTTAGTCTTTTTAAATTTTTTAGGTTAATTTTCTTACTCAGATATATATGGGGAATTTATTGCTTTGCATCCTACTCTCTAAACCACATCCTAAACTGGATTCTTGAGATATAACACAGCAATCTTTCTGAAGCACCTGTTGAGTACCTTTGGTGCTTGGAGAGATCCACAGTCTCCCAAATAAACTATAGTATTTGCCAACAAGTTTGACTATACCCCAAGTGGTTGCTTTCTTCTCTGGTGGTTATCTGTGCTTTTCATAATTTGCTGAAAAATTCAGTATTTTAATAAGATCTTTTATTTTGCTGTTTGCCATGTTGCATCTTAGAGCAAAATGAGTTTAAGAAGGAATAACAGAAGAAAAAAATAACGCCTTAAACCACTTGAGCTCAGACCCCCAAATCCTATGATATCCCCTTTCTGAGACACTAGTTTTTTCATTGCTGTCAGCTCTGAAATGTATTGATTTTTATGGCAGACAGTATTCCCAGGGTACAATTAAACCAATTGTAGACCTTTTGGTGGGGGGGGTAAGGGGTGGGGTTCTAGTATTAAGGCTTTGGAACATTAAAACTTGAGTATGTTTGTTGTACATAATTGATACTCCAAATTATATGTGGGGAAGAGAGGTGTTTTAAGCTATAGATAGGCTTTTCTTTGTAGTGCATTTTTAGAGATTTAGTTCTAATAATTTTTAGAGATGTAAAATATTCTGCTTTCTTACAGTCTTGCTTAGTCTGAAACATTTTTATTCAATAAAGCTTTAAATTTACATGTGAACTTTTTAGTGTTCTTTTTCCATTATTATTATTTTTTTACATTGTTACAGTCTCTCAGGACCTACTTTTTTACCTTAGCAATATGAAAAGAAAAAGATCTGATGTGATTTAAGTGAAATGCTATGAATGTATCTTACCACTAGGTGGTGGTGTTGGGATGATTTTGGGGTTTTCCTGCTCCCTGATGGAAGGCAAATTTTTCTTGAAAATTGAAAGCAACTTGGCAAGAGAATTAATGTGTGCATTCAAAATGAGCCGTTTGTTTTACCAATGCAGGATTCAGTGGAGGTTTTTTATTGTTAATTGTACTCAACATTTAATCATTTACCTTACTATTATGCCTAATATGCATAATGGAATTTCCAAATGCCTCTGCTGAAAATGGACTTGTTTTCCATTCTGAGCAGAGGCATAGTTGGTTGATTTCCTTGCTTGTACAGGCAACTGACCCAATTGTTAAGGCATGTTTTTGTTTTTAATGGGAGTGTGGGTTTTCTTGGAGATAGGCATGCTTTTGAGTCATCTGTTTTCCAGGGGTACTGTGTATTTCAGGGTTTTGTCTGGTCTTCTAATAGATGGCAGGGTACTACTTTCTGCTCTTGCTCCACCACAAGCTAAAGTCAGTTAGAAAGCCTGTTCACTGAACAATTATCCAGAAGCTCCTGCTGACCTTCATAAAATATCCTATCCTGGCTTCGGTTTAGCTACCTTTACTGTGTGACTCACTGCTACTCTAAGCCATCTATGTGGTACAATATCTACTGACTTTATACAAAAAAGTCTGAGTGCCTATAGCTGGCATTTATGGGTTTAAGTTGAGTATGTCACTGTATATCAGGTACGTGGGGACTGAGATTACACTTAGAACTGTTTACTATGTCTTTCAAGGGCTAAGGTAGACATATTATAGGTATAGAGAGTAGAAACAAGGACTAGCTCCATAATCAATATAATAAAAAGATGTCATTTTAAGAGAATGACCAGATGACAATATTCTTGGGGGGGGGGGGCATCCAAACAAAGTGTTTGTTGTTTATTCTCTCAGCTCTCTTGCATGAAGTTTCTCGTTGGTAAGGTGGGAAAAGAATCCAGTTTGGGAGTTGAGATACTTAAGGAGACTCTTCAAGACTGCTACAGAGCCAGCTTAGTTCCACCATCTTGCTGGTGGTATCGCTTCTGGCCAAAGTGAAGCTGCACCAAATTTGCTTTCATTACATATTTCATGAGCAATATATCTTGTAATAGCCAAGAGGTTGAGAAATGGTACAAATGTCTTTTTCTGGAGATAGATCTTGAGACCAAGATCATTGTGTGCTGGTTCCTGTAAGCCAAGTTAGCATGTTCTCTGTTCCTTGGAGCTCTTATTTGAATTCCTATGGGATCAGGGAGGATTTACTTTTTAAAAAATGTATCTTGAATATAGGTTGGTTACCATTAAGATTTTGTTGGGTTTGGAGAAAAATGGTTTCAGGCAATGGTTCTCAGACCAGCAGCAAAGGCACCACCTATGAGTTTGCTACAAATGAGACATGCAGATTCATGGACCCTACCCTGAACTCTTTGGACAGGGCCCAGGAAACTTGTAACAAACTCTTCATGTGGGAGATGAAACAAGCTAATGCCTGAGCTGGAGCACACTGAAGTTTGAGAACCACTGAGTTAAAGCAAACCTAGTCTACATAGAATGCCTGGCTTGTTTTGTTTTGTTTTTCTTCTTCCCTTCTCTTTGAAACCCTTTAACTTCTGGGTAAGCATGCTATACTAGTTATAGCTACTTTATCTGTGCTTAGATAAGAGGTAGAGATTTAGACTTTTAAATCTGTCTTGAGACCATTCTAGTTAGCCTCTGGTGGTGGAGAGGAATAGACGGACCCAACTGAGCTGGCGAGGTAAGCCCTAGTGAGAGGGGGCTGGGAGTAGAGAGATGGGTATAGCCTGTTTGAGAGCTGGAACAGCTTTGAATAGGCTGGGCTGAGAAAAAAACGAAAGTCCCCATTAGGGAGCCAGGCCTGAAACAAGGGGTGTGGCTGTACTTGGATAGGCGAGAGAAGAGGAGAAGCGTGGCCGAAACCTGCAGCAAAAAAAGGCGGGACCAGAATTGTGAGGCCTGCGGGGGTGGGGCCAGGCTTGGGAGGGGGCGTAGCTCTGGGCGGGGTGGGGCTGAGTGGGAGGCTCGGGAAGGTGTGGCCAGGGTTGGAGGGCGGGGTCCCAGGATGAGGTCCCGGGACCCTGTGGTGGGCTAGGTGGGCGTTGAAGAGGCCCGGCTCCGCGGAGGAGGCCGGCTGAGACGTGCAAGAAACTAGAAGGGGCCGGAAGGGGGTGGCCGCCGGTCCGGCCCCGCCCCGGGGCCGCCTCCCCGCGGGTTCCGTTGGCTGTGGCGGCGGCGGTGGCGGCCGCGGGGCGGGCGTAAGATGGCGACAGCGGCGGCGGGAGCCCTAGGCCTGCTGTGGGGCTGGCTGTGGAGCGAACGCTTCTGGATGCCCCAGAACGTGAGCTGGGCCGACTTCGAGGGGCCGGGCGACGGCTATGGCTACCCGCAGGCCCGGCACATCCTCTCGGTGTTCCCGCTGGCAGCGGGCGTGTTCTCCGTGAGGCTGCTCTTCGAGCGGTGAGAGCCGGCGAGCGAGCGGCGCGGAGGGCCGGGGACGCGCGCGGGCCGGTGGAGCTGCCGCGAGGCAGAGGCCGAGGGCCGGAAGCAGAACTGTAGGGAAAGCCCGGAAGCAGGGGGCTGGGGGAGCCTGGGCCGCCGCGCGCGATGCGCGGAGGGTGGCATAGGTGGTCACGGAACCTAGACACAGCGAGCTTGGGGCGTGGGCAGTGCAGGAGAGTGAGTCGAGGGGGACGCTGGGCCCATTCATTGTTAGATCCCGGGGGTGTCTTGAGGGGTGAGGGTCTTCTGGGCCTCCTCTCAACCTCCGAGGACTCCAGACGAGGAAATAGATTGAGTGCGAGCTGCGGCCGGGAACCCGGAGCGAGGAACAGGAAACCTGAGCTAGTTGGGGCCATGGAAGCTGTAGGGTCAACGCGAGAACCTGACGTTCCGTGCAAAATGAGCGGGCCCATGGGAATCTATGAGAGTTGAGGGGAACAGGATTAGTTAGGCCCTTAAACCTTGGTTTGTCAGGTCATGGACGTGTGCGTGTCCATAAAATTCCGCCAGAGCCCGTAGGAGAGTAGAAATCTGTAGGGGTAGGGTGTGGTGGAGCCTGAGGCTTCCAAAGTGTGGAAAGGTGTCAGATTAGTTGCAGATCGGGCCTTGGAGGCCTGAGATGGAAAGGGGAGTGGTCATCTTGAAGGAGGAGTGGTCATCTTGAAAGGACGGGGAGCCCTAGGGTTTACGAGAGAAAACTGCTGTATTGAGCCAAATTTTTAAGTGCGTTTAGCAGAATCACAACATACTTTGTTAGGCCATGTGTTGGGAAAAGTGATTTCACCTTTCTTTGAGTGACTGGATTGTATCTAACCGTCTAAGATAAAGATATTTACTGAGGACTGGATGTGGTGCCTTTATAATGTGGATTTACAGATGTGGGTGATTTTCATCAAGTCTACTCAAACTCTGGAAAGGAGACTTCTTGTCAGCAGGTCTCAGGTAATGAGGGTGGCACTTACACATCTTTTGTTCATTTGGCTTTGATCTAGAGCATGAATGCTCTTTCTGGGATGTTACAGATAAAATTTGTTACTCTGAAAAATTAGTGTCGTCTGATTTGGTTGGATTACTTGTTTGATTTACCAACGATTTATGACACACAATCTTTTTAAAAATATTTGTTAGATGTAGCTAGCTAGTCATTCATCCATTTATTCATAGTATTTGTATATTGTCATCAAAGTGTTCTGCCAGACTTCAAGTGCAAAAATATGATGCTTTTAATTGAAGCAAATGAAACCCAAATATCTAATTATCTTTTATGGGTCCCTGGGAACTTAGCGGTGCAGTTTTATTTATTTATTTATTTAATCCTCTCCTGAGGACATTTTTCCATTTTTGTTCAGGTAGAGTGGGAGGGAGAGAGAGAGAGAGAAAAACATCCACGTGAAAGGGACACATCAAGTGGCTGCCTCCCAACCAGGGCCGGGGACAAACTGCAACCGAGGTACGTGCCCTTAGCGGAAACCGAACCTGGGTCTCTCTGGACCGCAGGCCGACGCTCTAACTGCTGAGCCAAATCAGCCAGGACAGTGGTGCAGTTTTAAAGTGTAGTCATTGGTCCTGGCCGATTTGGTGCCCAGGTTAGACCAAAGGGTCAGGTGTTCAATTCCTGGTCAAGGGCAGTACCCCGGTTTCAGGTTCCAACCAATTCATGTGTCTCTCTCACATTGATCTTTCCCTCTCTCTCTCTCCTCCCTCCACACCTCCCTCCCTAGCTTAAAAAAATAAAATAAATAAATAATGGAAAAATATCCTCAGGTGAGGATCAAAAATAAATAAATAATTAAATACATAAATAAATTATAGTCATTGGCCCTGGCCGGTTTGGCTCACCGGTTAGAGTGTCCACCTGCGGTCCGGAAAGAACCAGGTTCGGTTCCCGCTAAGGGCATGTACCTTGGTTGCAGTTTGTCCCCGGCCCTGGTTGGTCGTGCGGGTGCAGCCACTCGATGTGTCCCTTTCACATCGATGTTTCTCTCTCTCTCTCTCTCTCTTCCTCTCCCTCTCTCTCCCTCCCACTCTATCTGTACAAAAAATGGAAAAATGTCCTCGGGTGAGGATAAAAAATAAATAAATAAAGCATAAATTATAGTCATTGTATAAATGTTATTGTGCTGGAGATACAAACCACTTAACTCTCTTAGGAGTAACCTAGATCCAGGTACTCTTTACCTTAGCATCTATATGAAAGCTGAAAAAAGAAAGACGATGTAATGACTAAAAAGGAAAATACACAATCCAACCCTCCCCCCAAAAGTTCATTATCCTAGGAAAAGATTCTGTGCTTCTCA